AGTCGACCAAGCCTACTTAGATGAGGTGAAAAAGTTCTTGAATTATGCTATTTCGAGTATGAGAGAAGAAAGTAAAATACTATGTCCATCTTCTGGTCAATTTATTATCTTCTATCTATTTGTTGATGAGTTGTGGTCTGAGCACCTTCTTCCATTCTCCAGGTGCCGTAAGAAAGGGATGAGAACAAGAACTTACAAACTTAATCATGTCTTCTAGTCAACAAAAGGGAGCGATACACAGGAACTTTATGGTTCTAAAGCTAGCCTATGTGAAAGTTAAGACTCCATTTCCTCCATTTACCAATCAACTTAAGAAATACATCAAAAAAGTCAAATCAAGTAAGTTTTTTCAAAACTATTGAGATTTTAATTGCATAGATACCAGACTATTAAGCTTGTGTCTTTAAGATTCAATTTTGTAGCTTTGTGTCAAATAGAATGGATTGTTTTGGGTGGTCAGGTATCAATTTCGATTTCCTTTCAATTAATAATACATGAAAGAAGCAGTAGAAATATAGAAAATCGAGCTAAGTTGAAGATGTTTCATCATATTAGTACCAAGCGTATTAGAGAGATTTGTATTATAAAAAAAAAAATAATTCATGTACAATTGCATGCATGTGTTTTTCCTCTGTTTTTTATTTTCTACATGTACAGTTATTTCTGAAGTACAAATACTGCATTCACATGGTAGTAGTGGAGATGTGTTAGGTTCATTTTCTTTAAATCGTCATATAGTTGAAGAATTTCTGCATGGTGGCTTACATTTCTATGATTATTGCAAGCATATCTCATTTTAGGCCCTCATTTTACAGTTCATTGTCGATAACCAACTCCCTACAGTGTGGTATCTCATTGAAGAACATCTCATTTCAGCTTCCCAATTTCTAGTTCATTGTTGATAACATATTGATGATCGTAATTTTCCACTCATAGTCCACCATTGTTTCATCATCATGGTTCTTTCTAGATGGAATAATTTAACCAGAACTGACTCAATTCATAGTTATTCGTAATGGTTCTCTTTAACAAGGAAGTTTTAGGATATAAAAGTCATTGTGAATGCAATCGATAGTTCTCTATGATTTAATGCAATCATTGTGAATCCAATCTGTAGACCTTTTAGACTTGTGATACACTATCAAATGCAATCTGTTTTTGTCTCCCAACCTTCTACATCAAGACCTATAAATTTGAAAATTATAGAAGATTTAGACTTGTGATACACTACTAAATAGACAGTTGAAGTTCTGATAGGAAACTCTACGACTACGAGGAAACCATAACAAATTTCAGTCATGAACGAATTTGGTTCAGATTTGAAATTTTAGACTTGAAGTTCTGATAGGACGTTTTAGACTTGAAGTTCTGATAGAAAACAGTTGAACTCTTTTTTCAGTACTTTTATAATCTAAGAGCATCTAGCAACATTGTGTTTATGCCTGTTATTTGTCTCTTTTTCTTTTTTATTTTGAGGAGGGGGAAAGTTATGTAGTAACTGATCTATGTTCTTAATGTCTACTATTGCAAAATCTTGCAGTCCAGTACAAGAAGCAGCAGATTCTTGCAAGACTGGTGCTGCGACAAATGTAATATTTGGATTGGCTCTTGGATATAAATATGTTATCATTCCCATATTTGCCATTGCTGCTTCTATATACGTGAGCTTCAGCTTAGCTATGTATGGCATTGCAAATTAAATGCTGCTCTAGGAATGCTTAGCACTATAGCCACTGGGCTCGCAATAGATGCTTATGGCCCTATCAACGACAATGCTGGTGGTATTGCAGAGATGGCTGGAATGAGCCATAGCATTCGTGAAAAGATTGATGCTCTTGATGCTGCTGGAAACACAACAGCTGCAATTGGCAAGGTTAGATAAGTCTCCTTCTAATCTGTAGCATTAACCTCGCTATGTTTATCCAATTATGCTACCATCTAATTCATAGAGTCTCAAATGCTAATCAGTGGCAAATTGAGTGTTTCCTGATGTGTCCATAGAATTTCTTTCCAATTAGATGTGTCCTTCACATTTCTTAATTAGAAAGTTTCAACAACTGTAATTGATCAGAATTTAGATCTAAAATCAGACCTCTATCATGCTGCTACTAGTTCCTTGCAGAATTGCCTCTATTGTCTTCTCTTGATACAACGCATGCTCTCGCTGAGTTTTAGAGTTTTTTTGTGATAAGCAGTTTAACTAATTTTGGTGTAAAATTTACATATTACTCCTTATCTATACCAATAGTTACTTATGGTCTTTTCAAAAAATTTGTACTTACAGATTTTGAAGATTGAAGTTACAAGTCAAGATGCAAGTTTAGAAGATGCAAAAGACTATTATTATTTTGCTATGGAAGTTATGCAAAACTTGATATCATAGTCTAGCTTGAGATGTTGATAAGCTAAGCTTTTTTGTTAAGAAAATATTGAAATTTATAACATCATGGGATGTGACCCAATTTTTATATTTTTATCAACCTTTTGCTTGAAGACTTTTTGTAGCAATCTTATGTTTATTGATAAATATTTTTAATTTTGTGATACGAAACGTAAGAAACATTGGTGGTCAATTAGAGACCAAAAATGTTGCTCGTCCCTAAAAGTTCATCTAGGACAAGACAATTTCTCGTCCCTAAAGGTTAATATAGGATGTGGTAGCTACTAGTCACAAAAAAGTGATCTACGACGAGGTAGTTTCTCGTCGCTACAGGGATTTAATGACCAGAAAATACCTAGGTTTTAAAGAAGAAAATCAACTATTTGGGATGAGATATATGGTCTCTAAAAGTACTTTTGTGACCAGCTTTGCTTCCGTCTCTACAAACATTTATGGACCAGCTAACGGAGCCCGTCGCAATTGACCTTTAGCGAAGAGGCCTATTGGGACGGGAGGCGACCAGCCTTTCCTTGTCGCAATAGACTATTTAGGACCAGATTTGGACTTTTTGGGACCAGATTTCCCTTCCTTAGAGGGTGTTTTTCTTGTAGTGCTGTGAGTGGTTTTTCCATTAGTCTCGGTGGCTCCCCTATCTCATGGAAATCTAAAAAGCAAGTATCCATCTCCCTTTCTTCTGCCGAAGCAGAATATAGATCTATGCGACGAGTCGTCGCTGAAATCACATGGCTCAATCGTCTTCTTGGTGATTTGTCAACTCCTCCATCTTTGCCCATACTAGTTCACTCCGACAGTCAAGCCACTATTCACATTGCATGAAATCTTGTTTTTCACGAGAGGACGAAACACGTTGAAATTGATTGTCACTTCGTGCGGCAACAATTTCTCTCTGGTTTAATCTCTCTTCATTTTGTGCCGTCATCTTCACAAGTTGCAGATTTGTTCACTAAACCACTTTGTGGTCCCTCTCATACCTCTTTGATTGGCAAGATGGGTGTCTCTTCGAGCCCCTCCACCTTAAAGGGGGGTGTTGACATTATCAATTCATCCTCAGCCTCCATTAATGATATTAATTCTAAAGAGAAGAGTAGAGGAGAAGTGGAGGTAATGGCGGCAGAAACAATAAACAAGGATCCTAAGTCTCGTTTTCAAATTTCACTAGCTGTTTTGGATTTGCCTACAAACAAGACACCTGGCATTGTCACATCCGTTGGATCATCTTGTGCTGGATATAATCCTCTCCACACATTAGAAACAATAAAGGAATAGGTCACGTGATCAGCAAATACAATTTGGTTAGTTTGTTAGATTTTAGTCCAATTAGAGATAGACAAGTGTATTAGGAATTATTCTTTTGCTTCTTTGTTATTTTTCCTATATATAGTTGTACATATTGAGAAGAGAAATAAACAGAGAAAAAATTCCCCATTCTGCTTCTTTACAGTTTGTAATTTTTCAAAGGTAAAAACTGTTGTTCAAAATAATTATTTTTAATAATTTTTCTGAGTTATATTTGACTATCAAGTTCAATTAGATGATTTATGTTGTTTTGTCTTGGTGCTTCTTAAACTTCTTTCCTCCATGAGAAGGGAAGTTAATTGTTTCACATGCTGGAGTCTAAGCAGTATTTATAGTTTGTCATCTATCATTTTAAAAGTATTGGCTAACGGTCCGTATAATTTAGCTTTCATATAGTTATGGACTCTAAAAACTGATGCATGCAGTCTGGTAATTAGAGTGTCAATTCGTGAACAAGGTGATATCAATGCTTTCTAATTTTTGAATTATTATAATTGTGCGATCGAATTAACTTAATTATGTTGTGACTTATAATTATTAGATTTCGAGTTGTGCTTTTGTGTTGTAATTAAGAATATTTATCTTGAAAGTAACTTTATTTGTTCCAAGTCAATTAGGACTTGTATTTGGTATTTATTTTGGGTGATTTTGTTGAATTGAAACTTCTGTAAATAATTGTTAATAGTTTCTACTGCAAAGAGAACAACAAAATGCTTGGAACCTGCATTGCTTTTTGTGTACATATTTTGTTATTTTTTAATAACAACTCAGAATTCCAGTTTCCTTTAAATAAGTTAAGCAGACCATTTTTTCATAAATGATTAGTAGAAAGCGATAGAAACTAGAATAAGTAGTGGAAGATCTCATAAAGGTGTAATAAAAACTTGATTCCTCGTGAATATAGGAAAGAGCTTACGCACAAGGTTTTCCCAGAATGTGATTTGATTTTAAATACCATTAGCAACAATTTATTTATTGTCATCAGTCGCCTTTTCGGACACAATATATAATATATTGGCTCAGTGCTTTTCTTTATTTTTAGTATGCACTTTATCTAGAGTCAAATTTAACTCTGCGTGCGACAATAATTTCTTTTGATGGCATAGCATCCTAAAGTACCCTTGTATCTATACCTCTTACTATTCAGGGTTACTTACACTAGCAGAAATGAAGTTCTTAGCTTTAATTTATCACTTACTTTATTGTCTTAAGTTATTTTTTAAATTTAGTTATTTCTTAAAGTTTGTTATATTGAGAGTTACTTATACTTTGGAAAAAGAAATTCAAGTTCTTAGCTTTCACCAATTATTAATTTGAAGTTCACATTGCGGCTGCTCACTTCATTGAGAAATATGAAGAGGAGATATCTCAAGTAGCTATTACGGGAAATTGTAGTAAGGCGTTTAACAATATCACTTTAATTTACGTGACACACTTTCTACTACTTTCTATTTTTTTTCTCATTTGATGTTGTAGAAAAATTTGCAACTAACTACATGACAGTCTACTTGTTAAATATTCTCCTGAGGGAAACAAATGTATCATTTAATTTCTCTCTCTATCTCCCAATTTAAACTTCTTTAATCGATGATTGGTGTTCATTTGATTTTTTAAGGTACATCAAAATGCCTCCTTATCAGCGAAGTTTGGCTGGTAGACTACTAATTGTTGAGGATCGTAGCTCCAACACATTTGAAATGATGAATTAAGACCTTCTTGAAGATGCATTACATATACATATATGATCATCTCTTTCATACATTACTCTAATTCAAATGTTAAAAAAACTCTTATTCACATGTTAAAAAAACTCTTATTCACCATCATAATATTTGAATATGATTGTACTAGACAATATAATATTTTTAGTTAATCACTTCCCATGTAGATATATGTTCATCTCAATAATGACGTACATAGAAGTCATTTATTGTGGTATCTATTTTAAACATATAATTAAAAAATCATAGCATTCTGGTAATGTATTGCTAAGTGTGAGGGTTATTGTAGTGCTACATGGATTTAAATTGCTTGATTGATAAAAAAAATTCAATTCTATTTGTAGTGGGATTAATCGTCTAAGTTTTAACTAGGTGTATTTCAATTTGGATGACATGCACAAAAGAGAGCCATCCTGAGCAAAAAAAAAGAGTTATTATCATCATCTCTTATGTTTGCACCTTATTAGTACCTTGTATGTATAACATGATAGAAGTCTGCTATGATGTGTTGGTAGCAACAATAGTTGTAACAATGTTTGAGCTCTTTGTTTCATGTATATTGGTATGATTTTCAATACCAATATACATGAAACAAAGAGCTCAAACATTGTTACAACAAAAACAAATTATTTTATTTAAAAAAAAAACAATTTTTTTTTTGTTTTTGGAAAACATAAAAAAATTAGGGATCGGTTGGTGGAAGGTGGGGGTTCCTGGGGAAGGGGTAAATTTTATTATTTTTTTGAAAAAACAGATTTTTTTTGTTTTTGAAAAACAAAAAAAATTTAAGGGTAGGTTGGTGGAAGGTGGGGGGTGTCCGGGGGAGGCGGCAATTTTTTTTTTTTTTTAAAAACACTTTTCTAAAAAGGCGAGCATTTTTCAGGTACATCGAGCTTAATTTTGATATTTTTCTCTTTAAACGGAACACTTTTAACTAAAAGGGTGAGCTGTTAAATTTTCCCTATTTTTACAACCCTGTGTGAAAAGTGCAATATTCCTCCCTCCAGTGGCGGATCCAAGATCTGATGATCGTGGGTGCTCAATTCTTTTAACATTTGCTAGCCAAAAAAAGTTTCTTTCTAGAAGTTAACTAATATTTTTTTAATTTAATTAATTAATGAAATACAAAAAATAAAAAAGTGGAAACACAAAAAGAAATATAAGCAAAATTTTGAAAAAGAAGTCAAGAAGTTTATGTTTTGCTTTTTTCAACAAAAATATAGATGTTGGAGGGGCTCCGAGCCCCTCGATGGAGGGAGGGCACCAGCTGGTAAAATCTGAC